TGGCTGAAAGCAGAGAATACCAGAAAGATGTTTGCCTATTTTTTATCGACTATGCAAAGGCATTTGATTGTGTGTATTATAACAAAACATGAATTAACATTGGGAAAAAGAGGAATTCCAGAACAATTCATTGTGCTCACAAAGAACCTGTACACAGACCAAGAGGCAGTCAGTGAAACTGAATAAGAGAGCTGTTGCTGTTGGTAAGTGCCGTTGAGTTGGGTTCGAGTCATAGTGACCCTTTATAGGGTTTCCGAGAAGAAGCTGGTGAATTTGAACTTCCAGTGCTGCAGTGAACAGTCCAGTGCTTATCCTAATATCCTAAAGTGTCACATCATGGGTACACAGTGGAATAAAACACAGCAATAAAATGTACAAGGAATCAACTATTTGATACATGTAACAACCTGGATGAACCTCAACTGGAAAAAGAAAAACAAACCAGACTTTTAAGTCAATATACTGTGTATTTCTGATACAAATTTAAAGCAACAGACACCAGATTGTCAAGGGACTAGGAGTGGGGGAGGTAACAAATTACAAAGGATCATGAGGAAACTTTTTTGGGGTGATGGCAGTGTTCTATGTCTTGAATATGGTGGTGGTTTCATGATGGCATAAAGGTGAAGTTATTCACTAAAAAGGTGAATTTTACTGTGCTTAAAATTAGGGTTGAATATCAAGAAATGGAGGGGAAAATGTAGGGAGCCCTTGAAAATGTCACTGTTAACAGGCAGTAAGTAGGAAGTAAAATAATTAGTAGCAGAAGAAGAAGCAAGAAGGATTACTCATAATGACAAGTGTAGGCTATGCCCATGAGACAGGGGATTGAGAAGGGGTTGGAGGAAAAGATCACTGGAAGTTAAATCAAAGATCAAGAGCTTCAGCTGTGAGATGTAAGATTCTATAAGCAGAAGTGAAAGACCATAATAAGGCCATGTGGGCAGGCACTATATTTTCAATGAATAGAGAGAGAGGTAATTCAGATGACAACAAGGATGACTAGAGAGCAAAATAAACAAAAGGAGAAAGGAGGGGTAAACGGCATAATGTTCCAACTATTCTGACATAAAGTTCCTCAGAAATAAAGAAGTATAGGATCTATCAGCATAAACAGAACACAGCCATTTTTGGACTGTGTTCTACCATACAAATGCGCTAAGAGATTAGTAAACTATTTATGTCCCAGAGTATTTAAATGCCCCAAAGTACTATGCTTTTTTTCTGATCAAGGATCCCTTTCCCTCAGTAAGAACATATCTCCCTTTCTCTGTATCTTACATCAAATGGATAATACCTGCAGTTTAGGGAAAACTCATAGTGCTAGAAGAAACCTGATAACTAAGTTAGCAGATAATCAATTTGAAAAATATAACCTATATAAGGCTGCTCTTTTTCCTCTAACAAAAGTACATGATTTTTTTTCCCCACTAACTGCTCAGAATTTTCTGTTTTTTTCTAAGTTTGTGACCACGTTCTAGGATCACTGATTCTTACAATTCTTACAGGTCCAGGGATCTGTCTGAGTCTTTTCTGGTACCCTTCAGGGATCTATGAGGTCCTCCTTTTCGTATACCTACATGAGGCCAGATTTTCTTGATATACTTCAGTCAAAACAATACATCCCAACTGACAGACTGCAGAAGCAGATATGAGAATCTAACTGGCTTCTTCTATTAAGGCAAACATTAGAGAGATGTTGCTATAAATGTTGTCAAGTCGGTTCTGACTCACAGCAACCCTGTACAGGGTTTCCAAGGAGAGGCTGGTAGGTTTGAACTAACCTTGCAGTTAGCAGTTCAGTGCTGATCCTATAGCACTATACCAGAATTCTTTAAAGATGTACAAAAACATAAAACAATGCCACTCTCCCCAACAAATTTTTTTGGTTATAAAAAAAGTCATCTTTGTATTTTAAAATATTCATTTATGTTAATACATAATCAGTTTGTTATTTTAAAATTAATTTTAAGCCTTTTTAAAAAGTTGCTTTAATTTCTTCCATGATAAATTTTGATAAGTATAATCCACATAAACAAAAGCTCCTTACAATAATTTGAAGGCTAAAAAGGGGTCCTAACATTGGCTATCCAAAAAGGGGGGGTGCCTACAAAGACAAGAAGTGACTGGCTTACAAGCTTTCAAGAGGAAGCCTAGATCCAGAGGAAGGTAGAATCTCCACTGCGTAGTATCCAATCTGTCTAGGTGAAGGTTGATGACATGAAATGCAGATGGGTCTCTTGTGATACAATGGTGAATAATTGTTACCAGGACTGATTGTGAGGGTTGTAAATGTAAAAGTAGGCATTTGTGGCAAGGAGGGGAGTGATTAACTTTGCAGGCTAGGAGCAGAGGTCCCTGGAACCATCAAGGGAAAAGATCAGAGAGCAGGACCCTATCCAAGAAGCAGTGATGCCCGAGATGGAGGCAGAGATGATGACATGGAGAGATGTAGCAGCTGGGAGCTGGGGACTCTGGACCCAGGGAGAGAGAAAGCCTGTGTGCTGAAGACTGGGGGGTGGGGAAGAAGCAGGCTTGTAGGATGTATCCTTTCATTGGTTGGTGATGCATGGAGAGGTCTGTAACCATGGCAATGAAACAATATACAATAGGATGAATGTAAAACTAAAGTTCTCCCATGTAAACTATCACATAATTCACAATAAAACTTTTTTTAAAAAGAAGAAAATAAAAAGGGGTCCTAAAAAAGGGGGTAAATAAAATGAACTGCTCTTCTATATAATTAGGGTTGCCAATGATCTATTCAAAAAATGAAATATTAGGTAATTTATCTCTTTGCCTTTTTCACAATTCGAATTTCATGTGCTGCTTACGAAAGACAGTTTACCAGCTACAGACAACATACCTGATCATCTCCAGATCCCCACTGAGTTGTCTGCAGAGAGACCAGATCAGTACTGGGATTTTGTGTTCTATTATTCCCTTGATATTTTTGCCATACGTGACAGGTCAATGGAACAACCTAAAATGAAAAGCAGATTTAAATTAAGTAACACAATCACAATTGTTAAACAATAATAAAGATAACCTACTATTTAGATAATTTTTCTCAGTTTATAAAGTACTTTCATATACATAATAATTCAACTTCACAACTACTATCCAAGTTTTTATACTCACTTAAAGACACGGAACACTGGCACAAAGGGAGGAGAGCTGAGGGTGCTCTGTGTTGCCTGCCCAGACACACGGACTAAACTGGTTGTGAGGCTACTGTCCGCTGAAGGGCCATATTGGTGGCTTTGCTCAGGGCCCGGGTGGCATCCACTGGAGTTTCAGGCTTATTTGTTCACCATGACGCTGCTGCGCCTACCCTTCCATGGCTGCTTCCTGCTGACACTACTCGGTTTATGGAAAACAAGCTATGAGGCTCACACTTCAGCCGAGGAGACGCCAGCCTCTTTCCTGCAGGACCTCAGGCATCCTTATGGTGAGGGGGACAGCCTCACTCTACAGCAGCTGAAAGCCCTACTCAACGACCTGGATGTGGGAGTGGCCCAGGATAACATCACTCAGACGGAACCTCTCAAGGAGCTTCAGTTCTGGTAACCTCTTTGCTGCCCACAACCTTACCAACTAGTCATGGATTGAAAGGAGTGAGTTCCAGGAGTTCTGCCCCACCATTCTCCAGCAGCTGGATTCCAAAGCCTGCACCTCTGAGAACCAGAAAAATGAGGAGAATGAGCAGAGGGAAGAAGGGAAGCCAAGCTCCCTGGAAGTGTGGGGCTTTGGTTTCCTCAGTGTGTCCCTGAATAACCTGGCCTCTCTCCTGGGAGTTCTTGTCCTGCCCGGCACTGAAAAAGTGTTTTTCAGCCACATGCTCACTTACTTCATCACCCTGTCCATTGGAACGCTGTTCTCTAATGTGCTCTTCCAGCTGATCCCTGAGGCTTTTGGTTTCGAATGTCTAGAAAATTACTATGTCTCGAAGTCTGCAGTGGTGTTTGGGGGCTTTTATCTTTTCTTTTTCACAGAGAAGATCTTGAAGATGCTCTTAAACAGAAAAATGAGCACCGTCATGGGCACAGTCATTATGCCTCTGAGACTCTTCCTTCCAAGAAGGACCAGGAAGAGGGTGTGACAGAGAAGTTGCAGAATGGGGATCTGGACCACATAATTCCTCAACACCGGAACAGCGAGCTGGATGGCAAGACCCTCGTGACAGATGAGGTCATTGTGGGCTCACTCTCTGTCCAGGGCCTGCAGGCTTCCAGAGCGCATGTTACTGGCTAAAAGGTATCCGCTACTCTGATATTGGCACTCTGGCCTGGACGATCACCCTGAGCGATGGTCTCCACAATTTCATTGATGGCCTGGCCATTGGTGCCTCCCCTTCACTGTGTCTATTTTCCAAGGTATCAGCACCTCAGTGGCTATCCTCTGTGAGGAATTTCCACATGAACTGGGAGACTTTGTAATCCTGCTCAATGCTGCGATGAGTATCCAGAAAGATCTCTTCTTCAACTTCCTTTCTGCCTGCTGTTGTTACTTGGGCCTGGCCTTTGAGATCCTGGATGGTAGTTACTTCTCTGCCAATCGGATCTTTGCACTGGCTGGAGGAATGTTCTTGTATATTACTCTGGCTGATATGTTCCCTGAGATGAATGGGGTCAGCCAAAAAGATGAGAGGAAGGGCAGTGTCTTGGTCTCCTTTGTCATCCAGAACCTGGGCCTCTTGACTGGATTCACAATCATGCTGCTCCTCCTCACTATGTATTCAGGGCAGATCCAGATTGGGTAGAGCCCTGCCAAGAGCCAGTGTGCCTGGAAGTGGGACCCTTGGCTGCTCGATCCCTGGCTTGATGACTGAGCATCCATGAAGCACCACAGAAGAGGTAGTTTTATTAAAAACTGTGACACAGACTGTATCCTTGCATTCAGACGTTCATTGTTTTTTAACTGCTCAGTCATAGGAATAAGCTGCCCTGGGTATACAGTGTCTAGAAAGTGCCTCTCATCCTTTCCTTCTTTTCCCAGAACAACTCTGGAACTTGAGTTCAGCTTAGAAGACAAGCCTCACTTTTTTCCTCTGGTTACTCTGCCCTCTTTCCCTTTGAACCCTTTACCAAACATGCAAAAATATAGCCAGTGGTCATAACTTGGTTAGAAATACCAGGCGCAGAATCTGTAGTTTGCAGCCAGGAATCTAAATATCCCATTCTGGTCCTCAAGATGGCCCATTTTTAAATGGGTGTTCCTGTTTTTACAGAGAAGGTACAAGAGACTAGGGTACCTCACATTTTTTCAAAGTCTGTGACTTCTCTAAACAAAGTAAAACTGGAAACAAGAGAGTAGGGCAAGTGGGCAAGTGGAGAGGCAACTCTAACCCTGAATGAGGAGGGAAGTAAAACTGGCTGGGTATGCCCTGTAGTGATGGTCATTTCTCTCCACTGGGATGGATGCTGGATATTGATTTTGTGTCCTCGGTGTTGCATGACGGTCCAGCAGAGCTGGCAAGTAGGTTCAGTTGCCTGAACCTCCTTTTCTAAAATTAACATGGATAGAATGGGGGGAGGAAGGGAGGGAAAGCTGCAAGAAATCCACTGATTTTCCTCTGATTTCCACTTCTCCTTCTCCACTCTTGTCCTCTGAGAAGCTTGGCAGCTGCATTCCTAGAAGCACATTCTGAGCACACTGAAGATGTCTGTACTAGAGGGGAGACGGTACAACCCGACTTCCCCTGGTCGACTACTAAAAGTGGCAAGTTGATTTTGAGGATTGGAGTGCAGTTTCTGCTCCACTTAGACAAGGGTAGTCAGAAATGGAATCAGGGCAGGCAAGATTTACAACACTTTTCTAATGACACAGGTAAAGGGTGAGTAATTAGAAATTCAGATCTAAGGTCAGAAATTGGGCTGGCCCTGCAGATGTTTGCAGAGCAGTCTTAACTGATGGCAGCACAGCAAATGAATTTTCAATTGCACTGTCTAGGGGGTAATACTTACCCCCAAACCAAAAATGATTGAATCCTCTTAAATTGAACATTAATTGCTCTAACTCACATCAGAAAATGGATGGTGATGCTTGTCTATGAAGCTGTTGGCCAGCTTCAGGCACTGTGGAGCTTTCTCCTTAAACTCTGGCTTCAGGGGGAGCTAATCTCCAGGTTCACTAGGTGAATTTCTTTATTATTATCATATTGATAATGTGATGTTCTTCAGCCACTCTGGGGAATCAGTCTCTCCAGAAGCCTTTCTTAGTGGTGCCCACAGCTGCAGCCCAGAGGTTGTGTTAGCAAGCAAGCTTTGTGTGCGTGGCTGACATTGACTAGTTAATTACCAACACCTGCAAGTTTTTCTCTGCCCTCACTCGGAAGAACTTTTCATTATACAGTTAATTAAAAGCATCTGTTTTGGGGGGGTTATTTGTTTTCTTTTGTTTCTCTTTTTCTTGGGGACCTTCCCTCAAGCCAGAAATGTTCTTGAACATGAGATGGAAAACTGCTGGCAACACTTACGAAGTTAATTTGCCCCTTACCTTGCTGTGGACTGATGGGTTTGTGAATGAGCTGAAATGGAGGAAAACATTAGTTCTCAAGATTCTAGATTAAATGTCAGGATTGACACCTGATAGGACTGTGATACATTTTTACCAAAGAACCAATTCCTTGAATGATAGAATCTAATTTTTTATATTATTGGTAGTGTTTCAAAACAATTCTTTTGTCTTTTCTGTTTGCTTTTTCTCAGAATGCTTTCAGGAGCTAGCAGAAAATAACACTAAAAACTAAAACTTTGGAAATTTTTGCTTTACTTAACTCACACTGAATGTTTTTAAATGATTTGAGCATTCCCTATCGATCCTGTCAAGGAGCTCTGGTAGTGTAGTGGTTATGAATCGGGCTGCGAATCGCAAGGTCAGCAGTTCTAAACTACCAGCTGTTCCGCAGGAGAAAGATGAGGCTTTCTGCTCCCGTAATGATTTAACAGCCTCGGAAACACTATACAGTGTCGCTAGGAGTCAGAACCGACTTCACAGCATATAACCAACCAACCAATGGATCCTGTCATTCCTTAAAAAGAATTATTTGTCTTGAAGTATAAATTGGTGCAGAGGCCAGCCATAGTTGGGGCTTAGGAGGATAGGAGACACTCAGATAGTTCAACTGATTGTATGTTACCACTTGGCAACATATTTGCCTCCTAAGTTGAAAATGTGGTAACGTCTTTTTGACTTTTAAGTGTTGAATTTGCTGTTTTAAGCATTTGTACATATTAAAAGTCTAAGGAGTAGCAAATTATTTTGAGTTTTCCACCCCTTACATTAACATCATCAACCGTTCTTTTCTCCGTATGGACCAGCTTCTCTTACCTTTAACAAGAAAAGTCTATGTAGGAGTACAGGTTCTATCCTGGGAGTCAAGTTTCCTCTGTCTTTGCCCACAAAGGTATCCTGTGTCAACTTGGGTCTACCCCCTCACCCTCGCTGGCCCTTCACCCTGGGTTAAAAAAAAGGTTTGTATCTTGAAGTCTATTTTTTAATAAGTCCTCTTTCAAAGAGATGGTAATATGCTGAAAATCTTCTAAAAACAAAACTTAAAAAAGTTGTCTTTGTTTATGAAAAAGCTAGAGGTTAGGTCTTTACTGTTCATATTTCTCTTTACAGTTCTGCAATTCCATCACAGTATTTTTATTTTTATTTGTTAAAGAACTCAGGTGTTATGAGACATTAGAAAAGATAATAACTAATGTGGATGTCAATGTTTTATTCGTAAGATTCTATAAATAAGCTATATTCTGTATAAAAAAAAAAAAAAAAGATAAGAGAACACAAACATAAGGTTATACAGTTAGGATTCAACATACCAGGGGGCAGCTTCTAAAAGCTTGTGGAAAATTTTCATTATCTTTTAATTCCATTTCCCCACAAACTTTTCTAAGCTCCCTCATATTTTCCATAGCAGTTCTTTAACCTCATATATCCCACAGGTAGAAGAAGCAAGCAGAAACCAGCAAATGTCTG